TCTTTCGAAATAAGATGAATACGTAGCATATATTAATGCTGACCGATTGTATGAATGTATGACGGTTTGACGCATATATTGGCATATTTGCAGGCACTTTACTGAGCCTCACAGGAATCTTCCTCACAGCAGGAGAGTATGACTGTTAGCCTTGGTCGGGGTTACAGCTGTCAGTTGGTGTGTTCTACGTGGTAGCTGGACAACGGGACTATTCACACGACTGTTTGTGCTTACCCGCTTGACTCCTCTGCCCTTAGCCTTCACTCACGGCAACCTGGCCTTTTCTCTTTGTGGTCACACACTCGACCTCACGGACAGCTGCGATCCTGCCTGCAACTGGTACCAGGCGGCCACTTGGGCTTGGACACTGTTGAGCATGGGTTTCAGGCCACACAAACGCCTGACCGCCATGAGCCAAGCAGGCTCGGAACTGGATTTTCTCGGGGTTGGATGCTCTTTCGCCTGTCGCAGGTAGGGACACTGCCGATCAGACTGGCTTGTCCTACTATGGCGCTGCCAAGGGCTTTTGTGCGAGTCGGCATCAAGTCCGTTCGGCAGAAGGTTGGATCGTATTATGTGCGGCTGCTACACCAGTGAAGCCTATTGTCGAGCAGTTTTTTGAGGGCTTCTTCGATGTTTCGAAATGAAGAGATTCGGGTCCTGGTAGGCGAGGACGAATGTTACTCTTTTTTCATACTATTTGATCTCTTTCTCTATCTCTCATACGTACAGGTGAACACGCATACACACAAGCAGTAGTAAAGCAATGATAGACGCATGAAGTGTACCAATCGCATCATGCTATACCTCATAAAAATGTAGTATTTATGGTGTAAGTAGGGACTCGTAAGCCCTGGTGGGATGCCTGCCAGCTTACAGGATAAACGAAGGACGAAGTCTACTTGGTATTATGCGAGATCCACCTTCGAGAAAGTTCATAATCACACAGTTCCACTTCGATTGGAGGTCAGCTCTGTGTGCTACAGCTAGTAATCACTGACTCCGAAGTTCCAACCATAATTTGGTAATTGAAAAATACAAATAAAATCCAGAATAGAGCCAGCCTATGCTGGTTTTCTATAGGCAACTTTTACCAACATATCGACTACCTTATTAACCAAACTACTATTTTTATATTTCCATCATAAAAGTATCCGATACAAAAAAACTCCCTTTTTGTTGGCAGTATGAAAAAATTGTCAATTCACTTTTAATTTTGGGTCAGCGGTGTGTCTTCCATTGCGATTTCTTCAAAGCTCTGCATGTAATTATTCTCCAAAATAAAAGCTAAACAAAAATGCATCCCAAGTCCTAGTGTCTCTATAGAAGTATTATCGTCAGAGGTTAATAAATCTTAAAATGTAGGATTCACTCAAATTTATTGTTACCATAATCTCCGAATGACAATCCAAATTCTGAAAGATCATTAATGTCTCTGAACGGGAGTGTGAGTTTATATGACTGTCACGTCAAAAATTTCTAATATATGCGCCAACTGTACAAATTCACAATAGGTTTTTATTAAATATAGCCTATATTGAGCCATGGGTCTTAGTGATGATCACAAACACGTGGAATCTGAGATGAATCCCCTCCTCCTTGGGGCCTCCTTGAGCACAGGTTTAGGTGCCTCTGTTGGATATTTCGCTAAAGGCCTGTCGGCATCAATGCCATTCAAGATGGACAAACGTGTCTGCTACTCAAAGCAAAGTAAGAGTGACCATCGAAAGTAACCAGTTTAGAAGTAGGCTGAATTAGTGTGACATAATTATTTGGGAATCCTTCTTGGAAGGCAAGATTTATTTGACGTAACTATCCGGTCAAAACTAGGGATCACTTCGAGGACTAAAGTATTTTAACTTCTTCGAGAAGTTTATTTGTGAAACCAATTACTTCCGGTAGCATTACAAGAGACTGGTAGGGCGAAATTTAATCCTCTTCCCGATAGAAGTTCCACACTATTCTGTAGAGTTGTACTGGAGAAGAGGATGCCATAGTCAAATCAAACTACTGCAGACCAACGGCAATCATGTTTTGGTCGGATCGACCTATGCGAATCTCTGTATCACACACATTTTGACACGAAATGAAATGAGTCACAATTACTACAATGTTGACTAAAGGCGATTCACCAACATTCAATTAGTCTTAGCAGTATTCAATGAACTTAAAAACAAATAGAATAAAATGAAACAATGGACAAGGGAAAAGAAAGCAATGCCAAGAATAGATGCGAAGAGATATCATACAAATATGTGGCGGCATTCACTTCCGCCTCCTTCCGCATGTCACACAAGAAACGTTACTCCCACTTTCAACCAGATGCATACAATTCTCATGAACCATGTGGACTGCTGTTGTTATTTTA